ATAGTCCAGCGAATTATACAATTTAGGCCAGCAAATTATACAATTTAGGCCTGTGAATTATACAATTGTATATGTATAGCGAATTATACAGTTTTTATGTTTGCTATGAAGCGCAATTATGCAAGGTTTGCTATATTATACAAATATAAATTTTTTGTTTGCTATATGTGAAAGTTGCCTTTTTTTTTTTCATTCAACTTTTAATTTAACATTTTTTTGTATATATATATTTTACTTTTAGTTACCTTGTATTTAAAAAAATATACAACAATATTTGAGGAAAGCCGTCACCAGTTTGTAAGAGTATTTTGGAATATGGGATTTTTTTTTTCATTCAACTTTTAATTTAACATTTTTTGTTATATATATATATATATATATTTTACTTTTATATTCTACTAATGAAATTGTGGGACTTACAGAGAATTCAAACTTGTCCAGTCCTTCTCTCACTGGAGAGTCCAAAATAGCCTGCCAGAAAGTCCAAAATTGCTGATTTCTTCACTGATTTCTCAGAGTTATAATTTATGAGATTTTAAAATGCTGGTAAGTTATCTACTTTTTGCCCTAATCATTTACAAATTTGATGGTATCTGCTCATGTGTATTAATCACTATTCACAAAATTACTATTTGTTTTATGCATATTTGGCTTTTTTTCCTGAAAATTCGTCCATTTTTAAGTTTGGCTGGTAATTGATGTGCTTTAGCTTCTTCTTTTTTTTTTCACTTGTTGCTGTATCTGCTAAGTCTTGTTGGTTTTCCAGTTTTTGGGCAGTATCCTAGATGCAAGAGGCGACTGATATCTACTACTTGCTCAACTTCAATTTGTAAATTGTTCCAGTTGCAAAACATGATTCTTTACGAAAGGAAGATTGTTTAGGTGAAGGAGAATATACAATATCTAGTGAGGTAGTGTAGTAGAACGACCCACCTCCTAATGTAGTATATGAACCGTGCTAACAATCTCGACTGATTGACAAACCTAATAATATGAAACAGAAATGAGATGCTTTGCTAGTGTTGTTAGCTGAACCTCTTTCTCCATCTGTTCTATTTTACGTTATACACTCCTCTTTGTAATTTGTCTAAGAAAAAAAAGCCAAAATTGTTTATTTAGAGATAATTTAACTTTAAATTTTGCATCTTATAGCCATACAATTGTGTTCAACTTGTTATAAACTACCAGCTTCAAAAGTCTTTTTTCCCCTAACAATCAATGCATGCTAGACTGCTGCTACTGGATTTTAGTCTCCACCTCCCCCTTGATCTAACTTCTTCCATCCGTTTGGTGAAGAGTCTCTATTCAAAGAAGGACAAGCTTCTTCACATAGTAAGAGTAATGATGGAAAAATTTGGTTACTAGGAGTTAGATGGCTTGGCCTGAATGTATCTACCGTATCGGGTCGACTGATGTTTGCATCTTGCATCTTTTCGGCAAGTCTCGACTCTTGTGTTAAGATCAGTTGCTAGAGACCTTAATATAGTTTTATCGTTGGAGATCTCAGAGAATTTAGATGATCAAATCTACTGTTGCAAAGGCACAAGTAGCTAGCTACCTGTGAAAATTGTGACTAGATAACATAACCAAGAGATGTTTTGAGAACAAGAGCATTCCCTTCCAAAGTATAGAGATGAACTGTTTAGCAACCTTTACTTTTGGTGTATATACTCTGTACCTAAGGATATAGGGGATATTACCCTATTTTTAGACAGTTGATTCTGTAATTAGTCTCTTGTTTTAGCTTGTTACTGCCTTTTTGGAGGTCTCGAGCATACCTTAATGTTGAGGAATACAACATAGGTGGTGATAGATTTTGTTTTGGACTGTTCCTTCATACTTTTGATGTAATTATGTAGGTGCACAAGTACTCCTTTTGTTTATAATACCAGTTAACCTTTTCAAAAAAAAAAATGTGTCACAGAACTTAATGAACCTATGCAGTTTATGAATAGCATCTTTCTCTGTTTCACTGTGTATAATTCATTTATGTGGACTTAAAGCAGTTTGTGCTATTAGTGTAATTATCATACGTGATATGACTGCATTAGTTTTTCTTGGTTAGATAATCTTTTGAATTGTTGAAATCAGTGAAAAGTCAGTTAGACTAGCATCTTGTTTCTTGGACATTTTGGGGCTATATTTACTTCAGATTATGCGTAAGTCAGGTTTTTCAGATTGAAGTGCTTTTATCTTTATTTTCTTAACACTGACACAGATGTTGATTATCATGATGTTCCAGGTACTTCTATTAGATCAATTGAAGAGCAGCAACTATTTATCCAATTCATTGGCCAGCTATCTATAGCAAAAATCAAGGTCAGGTTCTTTCTTTTTAGCCCTCCTGCTCCTCCTCCTTTTCCTTCTTCTCGTTCGTTGTTCTGCTTTTTTCTCACCACAATTTACTGGATTATATATCTTCGTCATGTGATATTGTTTTTGCTATTTTTATCAAAATTTGTGCTATTGTTGTTTGTACTTGGGACTGTTGTTGAATTTAGTGATCACTGGGAATTTGATTCAGCTGAATTAATCTTATTTGAATAGTGTTACATGCTCTGTATCATTTTTTCCCATTCTTGTGGAATCTATATCAATGTTTTCTTCTCATCTCTTTATTTCTTTTCCATTATTAGAGTATATTAGCCATCAATCAGTACATGCTCTTTATTTAGACTACTAATATTTAATATATATATATATATATTGAACCACATGTCGCTAAGTTATATTTTTATCGTTTTAATCCATATATCTAGTAAATTATGTGTAGGCAATATTTAATCTAATGTTGAACATATATATATCTAGATATATAATAACATAAAAGCGAGTACAAAGAAAAAACTTCAAAATAACGATGTTAATGGGATAACGTTGTCGACAAAACTGCTGACATGTACTATTCTGAATAGCTCAGGGTTCAGCAAAGAAGTTGGGGCATTAATAATGCTAGCTGTTGCTAAAACAGCGTCCAGGGTCTCCGTCGGCCTGTCCGTCCTCTCTTCTGTTTCAAGAATCACAACTTTCTCTGATATATCATCGGAATGATAATCCACAAATTCCGTAAAATCCTTTTTAGGGTCATTGCATATGACATTTTCACCACTCCTTCCGCACCGCACAATCAGTTTCCCCTGTAATGCAGTTTGCATCACATTCAAACTGACTCTACACCGACAATGTTGTTTGTGTGCAAGATTCCCAAATTTTTCCTCTCTAAAATCAAAGTAGGCACAAGTATCTATGCCGTAAAGAAACCCGTCAATGTAAATATGCCATAAAACAATCTATCGGAATACTGATTGATCTCCATGAATTGGTTCCTAGAGTTAGAATCATATGCTTCATTATTCTTGGGGAATTAGGTATCCTAATAATATGGAGCAACTTGTATTTTTCCGTTACCTTATCAAATCCCAAATACAATCTAGGATCCATTGAATTCTTCCTCACCCCTTCCACAGACACAGGTAAAGCCTTAAACTCCCTCGTGCTCACATTGAACAAATAAACTTGACCGTCTTTAGAGCTATACAGACAGACAAGGCCATTGCAGTGATTTGAGCATATAAACATATCTTCAAAATAAAAACGTCTTGTGAATTCTAAAGAATATCTTTCTAATCGTCTTTGCTTCTTTTTCTTTTTTGAACGATACGATTTACATGGGTATAGTTCAAACAAAAGACGGGTAAGGCCTTGAGAACGGGCTAGCTGCAATTTGGAAAAATTGGGATGTTCTATCCAAGTGTTCCAAGCTTTACAAACACATTTGAATCGCACGATAGATTTCACCGGAAGCCATGATATAATCTCTGATGTTATGTATTCATTACCATACTTCTCCATGATTATGGAGAAAAAAGAGAACCCTAGAACTATTTATATAGAGTTTGGCAAATTTACACGTATTGTTTGAACCTAACCTAAATCAAAAAAAGGAATCAAAAGACCGAATATATTACAACTCATACTCCTAAAAACAAGGCTAAAAATTAAAAAATAATTATTACCTAAAGTCGCATGGAAACTTTTGAATATACAAAACTAAGAAGAATTCCTAAAAAGAAAAGTTACTGCGTAATAAACTGGAAAAATAGTGAAATTAAAAACAATAGTTGCTTTTGTATGGTAAGTTTTCCAACTTTAATATTCTATATAAGACAAATTTAAAAATTGAGACCATAACATTTAAATAATTATATACCATATATTCTAATTTAAGAGCATAAATTTAAAAATCTCTCTTTATTTTTAAAATTTCAAACAAGTTAAACAAAAAATTAAATCGGAACGGAGGAACTACTAATTAGCAGTTTTAACATCTTTTAAAATGAAGATTAAATGTGAAGCTTAAGTTTTCATACATAATAAAGAATAAATCTCAATTATCAATATTGATGAGGTAAACGAATTTAACAAACGCATTTAATATTTTCTAATTTTTTTCATTATAAATGCACTTTAGTCATATGAGTCTAAAGAGCATGTATTGATTGCTAATACACTTTATAAAATATTATTTTTATACGTTCTGCGAATCAAACATTAATAACCTTAAGTCAAAATTTTATAAATAATTATAAAGAGAAACTTACATAAATATACTATAAATAAAAAATATTTATCATTTATAGTAATAATATATTTTTTTTTATTCTATTACCTTTAATATATTTATAATACACTTTTAATTCATATTACGAAAAATAATTTATTATTCACATATAATACAATTTTATTAATGGATAATATATTTATCTCACGTTTTAATACACTTATAATTCAATGTGTCAACTTCTTATCAAACGCATAATATATTTTATAAAATAGTTATAATACATATAAATGCATACTTAATTCACTTTTAATAAATATTACAGATTTAATATAATATTGCTATAAATGATAATAAATTAAAAATATTTATTAAATCAGTAATTATTTATTAAAAAGCATCTATCCAAGTAATTTTTCAATCATAAATATATTAAACAAAATTTAATAAGTCACAAAAATTGGCAATGGAGAGTTTGGGCTTTACAGCATGCATGTCATGTAGGTTGGGACCAAAGATGAGCTCGGTACAGTCTGTTAGGAAAAGAGTATCGACGATACACAACTTAAGATCCCATAAATCTCTTAAAAAGAAAAAGTTATTATTTAATTTTTTTAAATAAAAATTTCATGAATACATTTTCATTCCCTCTCCAACATATCCCTACCCTTTTTGGATATATCTATCTTTCTCGGGTACATCTCTTTCATTAAATAATGTATTATTTACAATGTATCAAATAATCAAGTAATGTATTTGAGATAGGATAAAATGTAATTGGCCCTCAAATGTATAGAATTTCTGTAAAATGTCCCACAAAAAAAAAAGAACTCAAAAGCTCGAGAATTTCTACTTTCGTGAGATTAAAAAAGAAATAGGAACTTCAAATTACAATGAATAAGAAATTTTATGGTAGAATTATAACAACATTGAATTAAAAATTGAAATATTTTTTTCTTTTGAACTTGAATTGATGTATTTGTTGAAAAATTATGAAGCATTTTATGTGTTCATGGATTTCAAAAGGCATGTGTAATTAATTGAGCATTTAAATAATATTAAGAGAGAAGTACTGAAAACACTTTAAAACTCGAGTTCTTAAAACACCTTTTCACTTGATCAAAAGATCTTAAATGCAACCTCTATCTCGTAACGTGAGTAAATTCTTTTGAAAAGTTTATGCTCCCAGCTACAAAAGTTTAGAACCACTTGGTATAACACATGGTAGATTAGATTGTATCTTTCGTTACTCATATAGAGTTTCACATTTGAGACATTTTTTCACATTCTTATGATATCAATGTTTTCTTCTTTTATGGAAGACATAGTTTCAAAATAAAGACTGTAATTGAATAATGTTGTCCACAAAACTGATAACAAATGTTATCTAATATAGATAAGGGGGCAACAATGAAGTACTAATTCACTAATTTTGTAACAATCTTGTTAATATCAAATTGACATCGAAGAGTTTGCTCTACTAAGTTTTACCTAAATCAAAAAGGAATTGAAAGACATGAATATGTTAGAACTCATACTCCTAAAAAATTAGTCACATGGAAACTATTGAATGGACAAAACTAAAAAGAAAAGTAACTATCTTAACAAACTTGAAAAATAGTGAAACAAAAAACAATACACTTTCAGTAAACTATTTTTTTTTCTTCAAATTTACAAACATTCGACGTTACAAGTTTAAAAATTGAGAATGTAACATTTAAATAACGGTACATATTTAAAAATCTCTTTTTGTATTTTTAAAATTTCAAACTAACTTAAACTAAAAATTAATTAGAACGGAGGAACTACTAATTAGCACTTTTAGCGCCCTGAGGTATACTCGTAATGGCTGGTTCAAACATGACAATTTTAGTATAAATTATTTGATAGCATATAAATATTTGCATATAAAAATTAATTATGAGATAATATGGATATTATTTTGTGAAAAATTAATTATGCAAAATTTAACCATAGAATAATTCACAGGTAAATACTTTCATTATACCTATCTAGAACATTTCAAATTGATATAAGTGCGTCTTTAATTTTAAAATGCACCTTTTAAAGAAATGGATTTATAAAGTTGGGATATTTAATTACGGAGCCTAGAGGTCCCCGTAAATTAAGTTGTCTGTAGATATATTTTGAAGTTGAAATACTAAGTTTTCATATTCTCTATGTTTTATGAAAAATAATTTATTTTTAATTTGATATAGAATTTAAGAGTATAAAAAAAATTAATTTGTTTAAATTAAAATTAAATTAATATACAAAATTACTCTTTGATATGGAATTTAAGAGTATCATTTTTTTTTAAATATTACAATTTTAAATTAAAATAAATATATAAAAGTTATTTTAAAAAAATTAATTCTTTTTGAAATATACTAAAAATTTGAAACGGAGCGAGTATAATTTATGTACATGAAGCTCTCAAAGGTCACAAACGCTGGTACAATATGCACAGACGTGTCAAAAGAGCAAAAGGGAAACGATAACTATGAGCGGACAGGTGAAGTGTGTGTTGAAACGACAAGTATACAATATTACTCATGCCAACTTTTTCCTTGTGCAACTTTGTTTAATTTCTTCACCCATTTCTAAACCTCTGTAAATTACTACTCTCTCATGGCGGACCCGAAATCTTCCACTTCCGACTCGTATGTTTTATTTTGCTTTTATGTTTATGTGATCACAAGTTTGACGATTTACTGACTGTTTCAATTTTAGGAAAAACAATAAAAAGGATTTTGCTACGGCAATTTTGGAGAGGAAGAGATCTCCTAACCGCCTTATTGTTGATGAGGCTATAAATGATGATAATTCAGTGGTATCTATGCACCCTGCTAAAATGGAAGAGCTCCAGCTGTTTAGAGGAGATACTGTATTGCTAAAGGTTTCAAGTTATTCAATTACTTATTTGTTTATTGTAACTACTAGTTGAGATGTAAAAAAAAAAACAAAAAATCATTGTAGGGTAAAAAACGGAAGGACACTGTTTGTGTTGTCCTTGCGGATGAGCAATGTGAAGAACATAAGGTCAGATTGAACAAAGTCGTTCGGGCGAACCTTCGGATTCGTCTTGGGGATGTTGTATCTGTGCACCAGTGTCCTGATGTTAAGTATGCGAAGCGTGTTCATATTCTTCCTATTGATGATACAATTGAAGGCATGACTGGCAACCTGTTTGATGCCTACTTGAAGCGTAAGGGCCTCCATTTTGTATTCAGACTCTTTCTCTAGTCAACTTCGAAATGTATTTTCATAAATAGTTGGTGTTAGAGTAGGAACTAACTGATAGTTTAGGTGTGTTTTTGACTGTTTTCTCTTTTGATTATCTCATTTAACAGAGTATTAAATATCTGTTTGCATTTGCTATGGTTGACATACCAGCATACTTCTTGGAGTCTTACCGCCCTGTGAGAAAGGGCGATCTCTTTGTAGTCAGAGGTGGCATGCGCAGTGTTGAGTTTAAAGTGGTTGAGACGGAGCCTGGAGAATATTGTGTTGTAGCACCTGATACAGAGATCTTTTGTGAGGGAGAACCAATCAAGCGTGAAGAGGAGGAGAGACTAAATGAAGTTGGATATGATGATGTTGGGGGTATGAGGAAGCAAATGGCTCAGATCCGTGAGCTGGTTGAACTCCCTCTGAGGCATCCGCAGTTGTTCAAGTCGATTGGTGTGAAACCACCAAAAGGTATTCTTCTCTATGGTCCCCCCGGATCGGGGAAAACCCTGATTGGAAGAGCTGTGGCAAATGAGACGGGTGCCTTTTTCTTTTTGATTAATGGGCCTGAAATTATGTCCAAATTGGCTGGTGAGAGTGAGGGTAACTTGAGGAAGGCATTTGAGGAAGCCGAAAAGAATGCGCCATCTATTATATTTATTGATGAGTTAGACTCGATTGCTCCAAAGAGAGAAAAGACACATGGTGAAGTTGAGCGGCGAATAGTTTCCCAACTTCTGACATTAATGGATGGACTCAAGTCTCGATCACATGTGATTGTCATGGGGGCTACCAACAGACCAAACAGTATTGATCCTGCTCTCAGGAGATTTGGAAGATTTGATCGGGAGATTGACATTGGCGTACCAGATGAAATAGGGAGGCTGGAGATCCTACGTATTCATACTAAAAACATGAAGCTCGATGATAATGTGAGCTGCTTTAAGCTTCTCCTTGTTGCTTCCTATGTTTACCTAGTTTTCCAATTATGAACAGTTTCATCAATTTTTTGTTGATGCTGTCACAGGTTGATCTAGAGAGGGTTGCAAGAGACACACAT